CAAAAATCGAAACCCTTTGTCGCATGGAGAAAAATCCTTTCCCGACACCTGAAATCAAAACCCTTCCATACTGGGTTCGTCGCCGCCCCTTTTCCGCTGCTTATTCGCTGTTGTCCCTCCGCCACCGCCCCTCCGTCGCCGCTGCCCTTTTGAGTCCGCTCCTTCATCACTACTCATTCGCTATCGCATAGACGATGTAATTGGAGAAAGAATATATGGTGGGTTGGGAGTAGGGATAGTAAGGTAGTTAAGTAAATCTGCCGTTTGGATGATGTAAATATGAGTAATATTTAATGGAAAAATCGTGTGTTAGATTTTATTTAATTTCAATTTCTAGAAATGGGAAGGAAGATATGAGAAGTGCCAAAAAAAGAAAACAAGAAACAGGACATGGGATGAAGGGAGTACTATTTTGAATGACTAAATTGTAACCAATTTACTAACTAGACTTTAAGCTAATGGATTGCTGCTCTTTCCATTAATCTTCTTCTTTTGTGAGCTTTTGTATAGCCAAATCTTGTCGGACCCAAAATGATATCTTTGATGCACAAAACGATGCCTTGCAAGATTGGTTCTAACTCGTCCAAATAACTGAAATAAGAGTTCAAATCTATCTAACAATAGGTATTTACATAAAGGCCCAATCTATAATCATAACTATTTGGTCATGTACTGTGGATTATACTTGAGATGGAAAGACATGAAATGCTACAATTGAAGTCTTGAGTTGTTGGAGTTTACTCTTTAAATGTTATAGAGAGGCTTAAATGCTTAATCTTTGTTTTAGTCTTTCTAGTGTGTTGATATTGGATAGTAGTTTAGATTGGCTTTTAAAAACTCGAAAGACATGTTTACGTTTTTTTCCATTTTAAGAAATACTCCCTTCGTTCCATGCTTTTGTCCATTTTTACTTTTTTTGTGTGTCCCTCTATTTTTTTCTTATACCATATTTGGTAATATTTGCGTGGTGATTGTGGTTCACATTCATTCTCACTTTATTTTACTTTTTCTTGGCATCAATATCAACCACACAATCTTACTTTTCTTAATCTTTGTAGCAATCCCTCGTGCCCTCCCAAGAATAATGGCACATAGGGAGTATTGTTTTAACTTGATAGATTTTTGGGATTAAAGATAAAAAAAATGATAAGTTAGCATAAACTCAATGTGCTAGGCGTTTATTGGTTACCACTAACTAAATACAATATTTTCGGAATTTTAATGTTTGAAATCACCCCCCCTATCCTTCCTCTTCCCTACCAAAGTGATAGTCATTTTGATAAGTAAACAATGTAGCCTTTCTTGCGCGCAAAAGATACAATGTTGAAACTCAAGGTCAATGTTTGTTCTGTTCTTGGAATTTCAGGTGCACTTGTGACTGCAGGAGTGCTCACTGCAGGTTTAATTAGTTTCAGGCAAGGGAATTCCAAATTAGGCCAGAAGCTCATGAGAGCTCGTGTAGTTGCACAAGGTGCCACGGTTGCATTAATGGTCGGGACTGCTTACTATTATGGCGACAACTTCAAGCGTGCTTGACAATTTATTTTACTTCAAAGCAGCAACCTCTGAAAGTCAATTCTTTTCTGCCCTTTTGGAATTTGGTTACATATGGTTCTTGCAATAAACCGAGCAGATGCAGTCTTTGTATCATAACATAGATTCTTGATTTGGGTGATGTTTATCTTCATGATATATACACGAACGAACACGACGATCAGTGTATTTCATCTGAATGGTATGACTAATACCTTGAGCAATTGATTTCCATGGGAAGTTCTATTCTTTTTTATTCTTTTTGGCTACTCTATCAGGTAACCTCTATCCTCTATCTTTTAATTTTCAAGTTGAAAAATGTCAAATCTACACCACACTTGCACCAAATTTACACCAGACCCAAAATTTTGAACTATACAGACAAGTGGACAGACAATGTATGAAACAGATTAACAGCCCAGGGATTTCTCTCTATAGCTTCAAATTTTGGTGTGGTGTTAGTATGGTGTACATGTAGCAATGGCTTTTCAAGTTCTTTATCAGTTATCTATTTGCTGCACCATATATATAATTGTATAAATGGCAAGTCTCAGAAATAAATGGTGAGTCACAGCAAGAGGTTCTTAGGGAGGTATAGCAGATGCCTTAGGGCGCTCATCGACACATCAGAGCTTGTGGAAGACGGTGTGCGGGGGGAGGGGGGGGGGACTGTCGATGAAACAATCAACGGGGACGGTTGTCTTGAAGATGACATAATAAGAGATTAAACTTTATGTGCTGATGTTTCTGAGGATAACAGGAGCCTAAATGGTTACGAGAGTCGGTAGTAGATCCCACACGCAAACCAAAACTCCTACCAAATGAGCGGCTTGTCATTGGCTTTTGAATATTCTCGCAAGACAATACTGTCCCGGATCCTACACCAGCACTGCGAGCAGTAAGACGATGTGGTGGCATTGGGTGGCTACCTCAGCCCATGGCATCACGACAAAGTTGTCATCGACATGTTTGATTGGCATACCATTATCGACGACGGTGGTTGTCGTGATCCTCATGGCCGACCTAATGATGCATTAGATTGAATAGGAAAAAAAACTTTATGCCAAAACAAACATAAGCCATTTTTATTTTTCAAGAATAAAAAATAGTACTTCATCCGTCCTGTAAAACTTTTCAACTTTCACATCTTATTTGTGTCATAAAACATTTCAGTTTGCGCTAAACGGACACAGTTGCCTTTATTTTTCTTAAACCTAATCAAACTTGCCTTAATTAGCTTCTACGCACTACCCATTTTGACATTCTTCAAGCATTACTCGTTTTAATTATCGTTGTTTCACCTTGATCAAACTTCTACATCTTTTTTTCTCCCAGAAACCAAAATAGGAAATGTTTTACGGGACAAAAAAAGAAATTTTCTTTCTACGAGGGTACCCCACCCAGCATCTTGATGGACCCCTTGTTTTCCTTTCTTAACACTCCATCCATCTTTCTGTGCAAAAGTGTGGGTCTAATCACTTTAAAGTTAAAAAGGCAAAGGACATCTTCACAGACCTCAACTTGGAAGACCATTGAGAAAGAAAGAGGTAATAAAGTGCTCTAAGATTGCCTCGCCGAGCTCCGCTCAGACCACACACACCACTTCCGTATTGGCATGATTGGTAATTGAATGGGTCATGTTATTATTATCACTCCCTATACTCAGTCCCAATATTGGTTTTTTTTCACGTAGATAAAAAAAATCACAAATACTCTTATCTTTTTATAAAGAGTAAGTTTTATAATTAGTTCTTTATCACATAAAGTTTTTCATATTTAGAATCTGTTTTTTAGAGATTGAACTCTTAATTTTCAGTTTTTTCTAGTTTCTTCCAGTTCTTTTCCATTTTTTCCAGTTCCTTCCAACTATTCTGATTTTCTTTAAACTCTTTCTATTCTTCAATCAATTACTCTAAAAACGATATATTTTTAATGTGATTATTATTATTAGAACGGTTATGTTCATAACTGCAGTTTATAAATTATTATTTTTCGTCTCACTGTTTTTACGATTCATACTCATTATTTTTTCTTCAACTTCTAAATATGAATAAGATAATTTTTTGTATATTAATCTACATGATAAAACAAGAAAACATCAATATTTTAAACTACATTAAAAAGTTATGGATAAAATAGTTATATAGAATGTTTTATTAATCTAACTTTATATAAGACCATCACCTTTCCCTTATTAATCAAATTTTTCTCATTTTATAAATTTTTCTAAAAAAATTGAAAGTCAAAATAGCTTAGAAAAAATTACTAAAATAGGAGTAAAAAAATAAAAAATGTAAAAAAAGTTTTATGTCTTTATTCTAAAAATAGGGGTTACGATGAAAATAAAATGTCAATCATTAAAGAAAAAATAGGTTTGATTACATTATGTGACATGTTTGATATTTAAAACAAAATTTTGTAGTATATAAAGTATAATTACAAATATATTATTTATAAAAATTATGCATAAATAAATTGAGGTACAACTTAACTACAATAACTTTTTAAAATTTAACATTTTGATATTTATGCTAATTTTATATTATAATTATCTTTTTGCAAAAGTAGTTTTTTGTATGAAAAATAACAATACTTTTTTTTATCTTAAAGGCATTTATTAAGATAACGTGATGATGATATTGATGATAATAATAATAACAACAAAAATTAGAATGAGAATAATTTAAAAATACACTAAAATAATTTTTTTAAGTTGTTTTAGGTTTTCCAATTTTTTAAAGTTTTTCTAGTTCCTTCTAGTTTCTTCCAGTTTTTTCCCACATCTAACTCTTTTTTTCCTGTTCTAAAGAACAAGCTTTTAGTCATTTACTATCAAATATTATGCTTCTGGTCCTTTTTTGGGTATCTTTTTTCAAATAATCTTTTTTAACCTTCTAACATGCTAGTATTAATTTGAACGCAAAAGTGCAATTTGATATCGGTGGTGTATTCTAATGTAGTGATGTCAGTTAGACATACAACATAACAATAATGACTATAGTCGTGGATTAAGACGCCGACAGAAGACCACATCTGTAAATTATGGTTATAGTGGATACCGACTGTGATTCGCAAATGAAAAATCAAAAGTGACTTAAGAAACTGTGTATGAAAAGAAAGATATATGATCATTGTCAAATTACACTTTTAGCCTTCAAATTAACACTTATATGTTAGAAGATTTATGCCAAATTGGGGACTAAGGGGGCGTAGGGTTGGGGTGGATGGAAGGGACTAGGATGAGGTTTTAGAAGTGGGCTAGGAGATAGGAATCACCAATTTTACCAATTTTCAATTTTTGTAAGGGCAGGTTGAGTGATGATAAAAGTGAATAGAACATGCAACCCTTACTTCCTTTCCTCTTTACAACTCTCACACCCTTAAATAAAGAAAGCTTTTTCAGCTCATACACATGCATTGGACCAGATGTATGTGCCCTTAATTTTTCCCCCCTTTCTCAAAAGCAAAAAAAGATGACTTTTATATTATCATCATCCATATCTGGAAAAAATACATATCACCAAACACACACATGAAGAAAAGGAATAAAAAAAGTTGAAACCAATAAACATTGGAAAAAGTGAAAAAGTTCATTCAAATCACATCCCTCCCCATATCTACATCCACCATCATCAATAAAGAAAAGTGAAAGCAACTGTTAATGGGACCTCATATGAGAACATAGTTTGCCTCACTTTTCAAGAAAGGGAAAAACACATGATTTTTATTGGGCAAAACAATTCACACTCGATGGTGTTGTAGTTGCAAGAGTCTCGAATAAGCGCCCTCGGGGCGGGCGATTAGCTCGGAGTGGTTCCCGTGCTCCACGATCCGCCCGTCCTGTACCACCCCGATGCTATCCACGTTTCGAACGGTTGACAGCCGGTGGGCCACCAGCACGGTGGTCCGACCCCTCATCAACCGTTCGAGCGCTTCTTGCAGAACGCACTCCGACTCGGCGTCCAACGCGCTCGTTGCCTCGTCGAGTAAGAGTATTGCGGGGTTCTTCAGGACCGCCCTCGCTATCGCGATCCGTTGTTTTTGTCCGCCGGAGAGCTGGACCCCTCTCTCGCCCACCTGAGTCTTGTACCCCTCGGGCAATCCGGTGACGAATGCGTGTACGTTTGCGGCCCGTGCGGCTTCCGTCACTTCTGATTCCGTTGCGTCTTCTTTTCCGTATGCTATGTTTTCGAAAATGGTGGTGGCGAAAAGCGCAGGCTCTTGTTGTACCAAACCGATTTTACGCCGTAGAGACTTTAGATTCAATCTCCTTATATCCCTCCCGTCGATCATGACCTTCCCGGCCGTTGGATCGTAGAACCGTTCGATTAGTGCAATGACAGAACTCTTTCCGGACCCGCTTGCCCCAACGAGAGCCTGACTTCTCCCGGCGCGTATCCTGAGGTTGAGGTCCTTGAAGATCGCGACGTCCGGACGCGATGGGTACGCAAACTCGACGTGATGGAGATCAATGTCTCCTCGAACCGATTCCACGGGATCCGCGTCCGGATCATCAGGGTCAATTCGGGTAGCCCTATCCAAGATGGAAAACACCGAACCGACTGCTTCACCGCCCCTGATGATCTCAGGGGCGATGCTGACAGTCTCAGCAACCGAATTGGCCGTGATCACGAGGACCACGAAAACCTTGATGACCTTCGAGAAGGTCGAGAGGCCTTTGTCGACGAGGTGCACGCCGTACCATAGGATGAGCGCCTCGCAAGAGTAGAGGGCGAGCTGGGAGAGGCCGAATAGGAAACCCGCCAAATTGCAACGCCTGAGGCTTTGCTTCTGAGGCACTCTTAGCTCAAAGGAGAAGAGAGAAAGGACCTTGTCTTGGGCGTTGAAGGCCGCCACGGTTCGTATGTTGCTCACGCCTTCCCCTGCGATCATGCTCGACTTCGCGTGCGCCTTCGCCGTGTCTCCTGCAAACCCCTTCATTGAGAGTTGCTGTCCATGTAACAAAAAAAAACAAACAACATTTCACCATGTTACTAACTTAGTACCCACTCCAAAAAAAAAATGTTCTAAAAAACATCGTAACCTCACAATTTCACTTAATTTCCGCGTCAAGAAATGAATAAACTCCTAATGTGAGTTTTTGCACACACAGAAAAAAAAACACTTGTGATGTGAGTGGCTTCAAAAGTCAAAGAAACAATACAAGAGCTGTCAGAGAAATTCAAAAGAAGTGTTTGGATGAAAGGATAGGTCCAATTCAAAAGATTCAATATGGTCACGGGCCAAGAATCTCTGCAGCCACTGGCAATATAAAGTGAGCAGTGAAAATAGCAAATCATCCAAGCAACCAAACAGCCCCTAACCCAAAGAAGGACCCCTTTACTTGGAACCCAAAAACCAAGAAAAATCAAAGACCAAACCATAGTACTGTCCTTTATATTCAGTGTCAGGGAATTGTCAATCAACTTTCATCATTTACAAATTTGGCAAAAATTTTGGCCCTTTCCCAATGAAGCTAAAAAAAATCATTATTGATAGGGAGTAATATTTTAGTTTCAAGTAAATAAGTTTTTGATAGAACTTAGTGATTAAACCACACTAAAAGACTTAATCAATTGATTAGTTATCTATTGTTTCATGTAATTATCCAATGTGGGATACTAAAAGAAATTTGTTAGATGTGAAAAGTAGCAAGAGTTATTAAGTGTGATTCTTCTTTGTACCTGGGCAAAATTGGCAAGAACCAGAAGGGGGAAAGTGGCAAGAATGAGGAGGGAGACCCTCCATTCCACTATGAAGGCAACTATGAAGGAGGTGAAGAGGGAAGTCATATTCTGAAGCATCACAGATATTCTCTCGGCAATGGCTGATTTCACGTCCGCCGCATCCGTGGCTAAGCGAGCTGCAAGAAGGCTCGAGTTGTTCTCCTCCTCGTCGAACCACCCCACTTCATTCCTCAAGATAGCTACACCCATAATAATCACACAAAAAAACCACTTAAATGCCGAAGAAATAACATCATCATCGAAAGCAAACCCAGTAAAATTCCATAGAGTAAATTCGATAGCGGGTCTTTTATAACATGAGGTTTTCCATATTTAGTCTTCTATTACCGAATATTACGTTTGTGATCCTTCTTTTATGGGTACCTTTTTTGACCATCTATCATGTTTGTTATAGTTTGAGAGCTAAAAGTATAATTTTACATCGACCCTATGTCGAGTAATGTATATTGATTTTGGCTTGATGAACAATACAACAATAATGATTATGGTTGTTGGCGAAGACTCTGACGAGAGAGGACACATGTAGACTATGGTTGCAGTGAACAGTGACTCCAGCTAATAAACAACACATGTAGTGGCATCTAACATTGGATATGACAAGAAGGATGTATGTATGATAATTGAAAAATTATACTTTTAGCCGTCAATTTGACACAAACATATAGAAAATCAAAAAAGATTGTTTATACAAAGCTACCCATAAAAGAAGGACCACATACGTAATATTCGATAACAGAAGACTAAATATGAAAAATCTCAAGTTATAAAGGATCAATAGTAAAATTTATTCAAAAAAAAAAGTAATAACTTGTTAATTATAGTACCTCCTAGCATCATCCTTCTGACCCTTGTAGTGAGATTCTCCCCCATAATGCTGAAGAAATAATGTTGGATCAAATAAGCAAGAACAGCATAAAGACCAATGCCAATGTATATAAACACAAACTCCTTTGTCTTCTGCTCCATCTTTGCAGGATTGGAGTAGTAGAAAACCTCAATCATATTGCTCATCACAATTGCAAAAGTTGGGCCTATAAAGCCAGATAGAATGGACCCTATGGCACCCATGATGGAGTAGGGCCATTCGGGTGCATTCAGTTTCAGCAGCCTGCAGAAATACCCGTCGGGCGCCCGGGTCTTCCTGCCCGTTTCCGCATTCGACACCATCTCCACCCGCCCGTCCGCTCCCGTGCTATACGAGTAGCTCAGGTTCCTCAAGCTTCCCGACCGGAGGCTAAGAGATTTCGTCGACAGCGAATGGCTCAAACGCGACGACCGGGTTCTCCTAGTCGATGGGTTGGATGATAAGTCTCTACTGCCAACCATTTCCTGAAATCTAACCAAAGACGAATACGCCCCATTGGCTTTGGAGATCAGTTCTTCATGGGTTCCTGTCTCAACAACTTGCCCTTGCTGTAAAACTGCAATGGAATCGACGTTTTTTATTGTGGATAACCGATGCGCGACCACCACGGTGGTTCTCCCAAGCATGAGCCGGTCTAGAGCTTCTTGAACAATGCTCTCTGATCCAGCATCCAAAGCACTAGTAGCTTCGTCGAGGAGAAGAATCTTTGGGTTCTTAAGCATTGCTCTCGCAATCGCAATTCTTTGTTTCTGGCCTCCAGAGAGTTGGACGCCGCGCTCCCCTACCTACATTGTTTGTGATAGCAGAATAGAGGTCACTCAACTCAGTCATAAGACACTTGGGCCCCAAAAGAAGGGACAATTGTCCTTACAAAGGAGCTCCCATTCATTCATATTTCAAAAGGGGAATATGTAACCTGAGTGTTGTAGCCATTGGGCAGCAAGGTGATGAAGCTATGAGCATTGGCGGCAGATGCGGCGGCCTCCACTTCCGCGATTGTTGCGTCGGGCTTTCCATAGAGTATGTTCTCAAGTATGGTCGTAGCAAAAAGCGCAGGCTCTTGGTTCACCAAACCAATCTGATCTCTCAACCACCTTAGCTCCAATGTCTTTATGTCCACATTGTCAACCAAAATTTCACCTGCCAGAATCAATAATGTGGCGGCATAGGTTTAGGAATCTATTCGAGCAAATCCCGAAGTGTTGGGATTATCCTAGCATGACTCAAAAGATCCAAGTAAACTACCTTCATTCGGATCATAGAATCGTTCAATGAGAGAAACGATTGTGCTTTTCCCGGAGCCACTCCCGCCAACGACCGCAACGGTCTTCCCAGCAGCAAAGAAGATGGAGAAACTTCTAAAGATAAAAACATCAGGTCTTGAAGGATAACTGAAGCTCACATTCTTGAACTCGATATCCCCATTGACCTCGGTCAACGACTTCCCACCTTTATGATCTTGAACGATCGTCGGCTTCTGCTTGATCATCTCCATCAACTTGTATCCAGCCACTTTGCCTTTACTAAATGCCCCGAGGTTCGATAGAGACTGACCTAAACTCCTGGAAACATCCAACATTCGAAACAGTTATTAAGGGGTTCATTATGTTAGAAGAGAATAATTGGTTTATAAGCTCTTGAGTTAAACTAGAAAACGATCAGATTTAATCTTTTAACGTGGTTTAGCCCAAGTGTCTTAACACCCAGTCCAGTGACCCCATCAATAATTCTCAGGAAGTGTTCTTACATGCCACCAACGATGGCGGAGAAAATGGCGGTGAATGCCTTTCCGCCGTCGGTCTGGCCGTTCCGGATGAAGACGCCGGCGTACCAAAAGACCAGAGCCCATGACATGCATGCTATGCCATAAGTGCACCCCAATCCCAACCCTTTGGCCATCCCAGCTTTGTACCCAAGCTTTAATGTGTTCTGGATTGCATCCGAATATGAGCTTATGGCTTTTGTCTCCCCAACATATGAGTACACTGTCCTCACTTGAGCAATTGCCTGCACTCACAACAACACTATGTTAAAATATACCCGAGCTTGATTCCCGACAACTGCACTGGGAATCAACTATTCTAACCATAGGGTACCTTGTTTTTTTTAGGACGTTTAAGGGAAGTGGTTAATTTTTTTGAGGGAAAGGGTAACTTTAGGTAAAAGAAAGTGAAGAAATAGTTCAAATAATTTCTAGATAGCATGCCTAGTGGCAAAAAGGTATAGTATTGTACGGACTACTAAAGAAGCAACCAAAAAAGGTAAAACTTTGATTGATGATAGTTACACACACTACTTACACCTATAGAGCTTGAAAAAACTTTATCTTTTTTTCTTTTTTAGACGTCTCAATAAAACTCTCGTGGTAATTAAAGAAAAAGAGATATTCAACCCACGATAAAAATAAAATGACTGACCTGCTCGGCGATGATCCCGGCATTGGCGTACGATTCCCGGGTTTTGGAGGTGAGACCGGTGAGAGTATAGGCATACAACCCACCCGCAAATGCGATGCCGGGAATGACCGCTACGCTAAGCAGCGCGAGCCTCCACGCTGACACGAAACCGACCACCAGCCCCGCCAGGAAGGTCGATATGTAATGTATGAAATTCCCCACCTGGAAACCATTGTTCGAACTCGTGACATCAAAGCGCTTGTTCTATTCAATTTTTTCTTATTACTTATTATTTATTCATCGAATTAGAAACATCTTTTAATATAACTACAATCAGATCAGATCAGAGAATAAGCCCTAAATCAGAAACACTCGAATACAGTATGAAAAGAACTAATTCAACCAAAAAATCAAGCTTTATGAACCAGTATGATTACAAACCTTCTCGCTGATGGCGTCTTGGACCAATAGCGTGTCGGTCGAGACGCTGAAGACAATGTCCCCCGTCCGGGCGTCGGTGTCGAAAAACCCGACGTCCTGCCCCAAAGCAGCCTCCAAATACTTCTTCCTCATTACACATGATTGTCTTTCCCCGGTGTACATCCAACATGCTATCTCTGTTCATATCATCAACAAATAGTGTCAAAAAATGTGTATGGAAAAAGATTAATTAATGAGATTTTCGGAATAAAACTCCTTCCAATCACATTGATTACATTTTTATGATATAGAAAAAATTTGAATTATTGTAAACATTTTCCGAGTATATATGTTAATATTCATTCAATTTTTTCATACATTTTATAAAATTTACTCCCTATAATAAATAATTGGTTCAAGTGTGAATGGACGGAGTAAACAAAAAAAACCACGTGAAGAGGTCCGACACAACACTATGACTGATTCTAGCTAACTTTGGCCTTTTCGCAGAAATACAAAAAACCACTTGGAAATCTCTATTCAATACAAATTACAGCATTCATTAATCTTATCAAATTCACTCCCCAACCCCACAAAAATGTTCCACATTTGATTCGTCACACATTAAAAAAAGTAAAATTGTGTGGATAAAAAAGTGGTTTTTTTTTAATGGAAAAAAGGGAAAACTAGAACATTTTATGATTTAAGAGAATTCTATAATATAACAGTTCAAAATAGTTTTTAAATGGATAGAGAACAAAAACAAATAAGGAAAAAGAGAGAAAAAAAGATCACCTGCATAGGATGAGACGCAGACAATGAGTCCAAGATACACGAAATACAGAGCATACTGCAAATTCCAAAGAAACGCCAAATTCGTCAAAATTTTCAACCAAAAGCTCAAATTTTTGAGCAAAGAAGCAAAAACCCAGATCTAAAATCACAAAGAAAGATCAAAGATTGAATCTTTATATCATTTCAGACCTTGCAAACTTCATGGGTCATCATGGAGAAATCTCCCTGGTTTTTGCCGAAGCCATTGACCATCTGGCCGAAGAGAAGGAAGAAGACGGGCATGGAGGAGCCGTGGACGACTGCTCCGATTGTCCCGCCGGCCATCAGAGCCCAGTCGTATTTATCGGAGAAGGAAAACAGCTCATAGAAAGAAACGCTCTGCTCTTCCTCTTCCTTCTTCTTCTTCTTCTTCTCTGGCTCGGGCATTGCGTTCCCTTCTTGTTCTGCAACATTCGTGGCCTCCGCCATGGCCAGACCTCAAAGAACCTTTTTTTTTTAATTCAAGAATTTAGAAACTCGTCTTGGCGGTGGATGAAAGGGAGAGGAGGAAGAAGAAAGGGATCTAGTGTGAAGAGATAGTCGTTTGGTCACTGTTCTCAGCAGGTGAAATCACAGACCATTGTGTCCGTTGCCATTAAAAGCATCTGGAAAGAACTCGTGAAAAGTTAGGAGTTAAAGAACGTGTCTAGAGAGAGAGAGAGAGAGAGAGAGAGAGAGAGAGAGACCGGAAGTCAAAATAGAGCACACTGCAACGAGTGGGGAAACTTTGAAGCTAGTGGAATGAATCAATGGGTAGGTTTGTTACATTATTTATAGTTTTATAGCGACATTTCCTTATTTGGCATTGAGCTTCTTTTTTTTAAGTTTGGTTGCCTGGTTGGGAATATTTTTGTTTTTCGGAAAAAATATCACCTAATTCCAAAATTTTAAGGAGTGGAATACTAGAATCACAAATTTTATAAGATTATTCAAAATTTACTTATTATGTAAAATTCATTGATTATTTCAATCTACACTAAATTAGATAAATTTTGATATATTTTATCAGCCAAGTTTTATAAGATTTTGTCAAAGTATTTATAATCCAAGCTCAAAGAAACATCAAACATAAAAACGAATATTTGATAATCCAAGCTCAAAGAAACATCAAACATAAAAACGAATATTTGATAATCCAAGCTCAAAAAAAAGTACATGCTTTTGTAGTTTAATTATTTTATAAATTTCTAAAATATTTCAAAGTAAAAAAAATTACTCCGTATATTAAAATGCTAACGAATAATTTATATCTAAACAAATACTTTCACATATAAAATGAATAAATATGTACTAATTGTAATAAAATATAGAAAGTGTGAAAGAATATATGAACAATGATATTGAAATAACATTGAGAAGAAAAAAATGCATTTAAATATTTTTATTTAACATTGAAAATGATATTTACATCTTTTCTTAATATGTATGTCTGTTCCAAATGAAAAGATTAAAGTTAGACGGAAGGAGTATATATATGCTTCCTATTATTTAGAAATAATAGACATATTTATGTTACGTGATAATATTTTATTATTTTATACAATAGTTCACAAAACATGGTATTATTTAAATTTCAATTATCTAAACATAAATATGAATATTATATACCAAGCTATGGGTCATTGACCAAGTTGTTGACCCATGTCAACTTAGTTCGACTTGTTGACTCTATACCCAGTGGCTAATCTAGTTTGATGTCCTATCAGATTTTCAAAACATTGGTATATAATTGGCTAAAATGTCCTCAACGACTTTTGTGGTTAAAGGTAAAATTTTAATTTGTTGAGTAAATTTTATAAAAGGTCCTCAATTATAGTTCGTTTTACATATTTAGTCCTTGTATATCAAATATCAATAGTTTAGTCCCCAATTATTATATTGTTTTTCACGAATGGTCGGCAGCGGCGCCGACATCGGAGGAGGTAACGAGGAAGACAAGGTTGATCTGGAAGGAGACGAATCCAGCAGCCGGAGATCTCTGCTGTGGCCAGAAGTCTGGTATTACATTTCGTACGTGGCGCTGTCGGCGGGCAGGGTCCCCTGCCCTTCGTGCTCCGGCAGGTCGTACTACGTACACACCGAACTACCCTTTGGCCACCGAATCGGTCCGCCCTTATGAATGGTCCTTTGTAAACATTTCTGTTAAAACATGGATAAAATTGTAAATTCACGCTCCTCTCTCTCCTCAATTGAGCTTTCTCTCTCCTCTCGCACTCTTTTTCCAAATCCATTGCTGAGTTTGAAGCTTTGAACCCAAAACCAAAACCATCACTCTTCTCTCAAATTTCAATTATTCATCTTTCTAGTGGAATTTAAAACCGAAACCAGTAGCCTTCATGAATGAGTTTTAAGGTTTGTTTTCTTTGCAATTTTCTGAGACTAACCCATAAAATTCATCCATGAAGATTATTGGTTTCGATTTTGGTTTCCACTAGGAAGATGAACAATTGAGAGATAAGTAATCGTTTCGGTTTTGGTTTTTTGGTGTTGGGAATGAGTACGAGAGGAAGGAGGAATCTTAATTGAAGAGGGTGAATAAACAATTTTATCCATGTTTTTAACGAAAATGTTAGCAAAGGACTATTTATAGAAAACAATATAGTAATTGGGAACTAAATTATTAATATTTGATATGTAGGAATTAAATATGTAAAACGACTTATAATTAAATACCTTTTATGTAATTTACCCAATTTTGTTACTAATACTACTAGTATTTTAGAATCTCGACTAAAACTATTATGGACAGCATCAAATCTAACTTTTTGTAAATTTACAAATAATCACATCCATTAATAATAAAGGAATAAAATATACTTCACAGCGGCACGGATCAGGAACATACTTCACAGCGGCACGATGCTAGTTTTCGGGCAGAGGCACACATGTGTTTTTTTATGCTGCAACATCAGATTTGGAGGATTCCATCTCTTTCGGTTGTGTCCTTTTTGATCCACGGGGGGTATATGTGGCAACAACAATTGGAAGGAAACTTGGGCCTCTAGATCCTCTTTTGGTGGAAGCTCTTGCTTGCAAAGAAACGATGGCTTGGTTGAGGACTCGATGTATTTGTAACGTTGAGATTTTTTCTGATTGTCAGGTTTTGGTGGGGGCTACCAAGAAAGGAAATGCCTTTGAGTGTTATTCTTATCTAGGCTCCATCCTTGACAAATGTGCTGATTTATTATCATCGTTTACATCTATTAATTTTTATTTTATTCGTAGGAATCGTAATTGTATTGTCCATATGTTAGCATATGTTGTATAGGTTTTGTATTATTGGGCCACGTATATTGGGCTTGTACTTGTATATATATTTCCAGTTGTATCAATGAAACACACACAGTTTAGTTCACAAATTCTACATGGTATCGGAGCATTCCCTGGGAAAGAACATGAAACCCTAGGGTTTCTTCTTCGTCAGTTCGTCCTCGTCCGGCGCACGTCTATCCTTCGCCGGTGGTCTTCCGCATCTAGTCAGTCACTCTAGTCGCTGCCTCTCTTCTGTTCGCATCTGTTTCCTCGAAGATGGCAGCGGAGAACACGTCAAATACCAAGCGCACACGGTTGATTCATGACCCATCCTCCATCTATTATCTACATCCTTCTGAAGGTCCCGGCAATTCTCTCACTAAATATTTGTTGAAGAGTGATAACTTTGATATATGGGAGAAAGCTATACGCAATGCACTTGGAGGTCGTGGGAAAGCTATTTTCTTGTCATCCGTAGGAGTGCCGAAGCCTACCGATGAACACGAGTTGTCTGCTTGGTATGCAAACAATCAAATTATTTGTAGTTGGATTTTCAATAGTGTTGATGAATCTATTCAACCAAGTATTGTTTCACATACCATAGCTTCGGAACTGTGGAATGATTTGCAAAAACGTTACAGTTGTTCGAATGGACCACGTATTTATCAGTTAAAATCTGAGTTAAATTCTCTTCGTCAAAAGGGTCAAAGTGTGGTCTCTTATTATAATCAGTTCATCACCTTGTGGAATCAATTGCATGGTTCGAAGAATCCTACCAATGGGTGCAAATGCGAGGCTGCCGCCGTCACGCGTGTCCTTGTTGAGCGTGACAAAACCATTGATTTTCTTCTTGGGCTTGACGATGAACAATTCGGTCATATTCGGTCTCAAATAATGGCCACCGATCCTGTCCCGGATATTGATCGTGCTTACTCCTTGATTTTTCAAGAAGAACGGCATCGTCATATTGTTCGTACTCGTGATGATCGCACCGAATCAGTTGCTTTTGCCGCCCGATCAGATCGCCGTCCACCACAGTCCGGCAAGTTCATGTGTTCAAACTGTGGCCGTACCAATCACACCGTCGAAACTTGCTTTGAACTGATTGGTTTTCCGTCCCATTATACTAAAGCTTCAGGTGGACGTGGACATTCAACAAACGTTCGCGGAGGTCGAGGGGGTCGCGGGGGTGGACCCACTGCCAATTCAGGCCGTGGCATCCTGGGTACTCCAGCGGCTGCTGCTGGCCGAGGACAACAACCCCACATGGCGCCTCCCGCCGGCAGTAGCTCCCCCATTACTGTCCATGCAGCATCGAGTGACGTGGGGCCCTCGCTAAGTGATCAAATGACTCGGCTTATGTCTATGTTGGAAACTTCGGCATCTCACACTTATTCGGGTATTTCTTCTACTTGTGATTGGATTGTTGATAGTGGTGCTTCTCATCATATGACGGGAACGTTATCTCATTTGTTTAAAGTTGAGGATATTTTATCTCACCCTATTTGCCTTCCTGACGGATCCCGGATTCCGGCTACTAAAAAGGGAAGTGTCCACTTGACTTAGAGTTTGGTTCTCCATGATGTATTTTTTGTTCCTACATTACACTGTCATTTGATTTCTGTTGGGTGTTTGATTCGGGACACCCCCTGTTATGTAACTTTTCATGATTCTGGTTGTGTGATACAAGACCGTTCGTCGAAGATGGTGATTGGACAGGGTGAGAAACGAAATGGAGTATACGTCTTGGCTTCTTCTTCTGCGTTGGCTACTAGGGCTAATGTGGACCCGTTCCTTCTTCATCAACGTTTGGGTCATCCTTCATCTGATATTATGTCTCTACTTCATTCAAATAAATCTAGTGGTGTTGTCAAGAAACTTCAAACATGTGAAATTTGTTTCTTGTCAAAACAAACTCGTTCTTCCTTTTCTATTAGTCACAATAAAGCAGAAGCTGTGTTTGATTTAATTCATTGTGATTTGTGGGGCCCTTATTCCCCCTCATCTGGTGCTCATGACTTTCTTACTATAGTTGATGATTTTTCTCGTGCTGTCTGGGTGTATCTTATTCGCTCTAAAAGTGAAGTTACAATTTGTCTTAAGCAATTTTTTACCATGATTCAGACACAATTCTCCAAAGTTATTAAAGTGGTTCGGTCAGATAATGGTACTGAATTTCTCAACACCTCTTTGCGTTAATTTTATGAATCAATGGGGGTTCTCATACAAACATCGTGCGTTGGTACCCCACAACAAAATGGCCGGGTAGAACGTAAGCATCGTCACATACTTAACGCTGCTCGTTCTCTCATGTTTCCGGCGTCTCTTCCTGTTGAATTTTGGGGGGAATGTGTTAAAACCGCAGTTTACCTTATTAATAGAACCCCTACAAAACTCCTTGGTGGGAAATCTCCTCTTGAAGTCTTATCTTCCAAACCCCAAAGCTTGAGTCATCTCCGAGTTTTTGGTTGTCTATGTTATGTCCGTCAATCT